CCTCCTCCTCCTCAGGGGGCCGCCGCCGCCCCCCGCCGGGCCGATCCCGCTCGCAGCCGCCCGGCCCGCGGCGCCACGTTCCGGGCCCGGCTCGGAGGGAACCGCACTGCCCCCCGCTCCGCCCCCGGGGCTGGGCCCCGCTCGGACCCCGGCCGCCCCCCGCCCGCTCCGGACGTCCTGCGCCTGGAGCCCGGCCTCCCCCTCCGGCCCGAGGCGGGTCGTTCGCCGCCGCCTTCTCCCTCCTCGGCCGGAGGGTGGCCCGGGGGGGGGTCTGGGGGCGAGCCCGGCCTCCGCACGGGCCGGAGGAGAAAAGCGAGCAGCCCCTTCAGAGCGTTGATAACCCCGCTCCGAAAGAGCCGTAAGGGTGGAAGAGCATCTCCCCCGGCACCAGCTGCCCCAGGGTGCGTGGGGCGGCACAAGGTGCCTCTGCGGATTCACCGGCCACACCGGGCACCGACGACATCGCTCCTTCTCCTCCTCCTCATCCTCCTCCTCCTCGCTGTGGTACCGCCGGCATCCATCCCCAGCCTTCCGCCGGCTGTAGACCCAAGCCCAGCAGACAGGAGAGCAGGTTACGCTGAAGACCCTCCTGCTGTGAGTAACAGACAGCAAAGGAGTAATACTTTCTTGTCTAAGTGAACACCGGATGCCACTTTACCTTAGTGGAATTTAACAACACCTCCCAAACTTAGCCCTTTCTTGGAAAAAAATCTAAGAACCTGAAACTTCAGGAAGTTTTCTGCAATAACATGATGAACGCGCAGCCATCGGCTCCAGGGTTTGGCTGCAGAATGAAGATTTCATCAGAAAGCAGGTCTTCGTCAGGGCCCACAGAAAGGATGCAAGTAAAGCAGTTAAAAAATAATCTAACAATAGTGGGATGTAAAAAAGAGAAGTTTTGTCTTTCTGTCTAAAGGCCAACTACAGTTAATCTGCAGTGTAAGTTGTAGCCAGTGAATTAGCTTCTCGCCTGTAATGATGCAGGTCTCTCAAATCACTGGTAACCAAATCCCAAAAGTACTCACTTTTGCAATTCACCAGATCACAAACCCCACCCAAACACACCCAGCCCTTGATGTTTTTACCTAGGGAAGGGCAGCTGAGCCTTCCCTTCTGCTTCAGATGAGCTACAGCTGGTACCAGACCCCTCCAAGGGTGTGCCTGTCACACACAGCACCAGGAAGGGACCATCCTTAGAGGACAGGTGGGTGTTTCTTCTCTCCTATCAGCCCTGTGCATCTGGGGTGGAGCTGAACCAGGGGTGGCTTTTTCACCCAGATGCCCAGGGATGTTCCTCCATCCAGTTCATTGAGAAAAACATGAATGTAGAGGAATTGCCATTTTATAACTGCCAACGGTTATTACCCAATATCCCAAAACACACAAGATCTCTGCAACAGGCACACATGGGAGCACCCCAGTCATGTGTGTCTTAATTCCTACTTGACATCACTTTATCTCATAACACATTAGGCTTTATTCTTTCCAAATCAATTTACAGTAAGTGCTTCTAACCAGAAGATGTACCATAGAATGTAGGTGGTGGTGAAGCAAGCCTACAAATTTTTTAATAACTTTTAATAACTTCATTCACGAGTTTTTGTGATCCTCTCCTCGTGTCAGAGCGCGGGGCGAAGCGGAACAAGACTGTTTGTGTAGATTCTCACGCACACAGAGCACTCACATCAATCTTACAAAGTTATCTTTATTTATCAGTTGCACCTTCAAGAGTTATTCCATTATTAAGATTTCTCTTAAATAAAAAAAAATATTCCGCTTTCCATAAAAAAGCCATAATTATCAAAAGTCATTTTCTCTTTTTTTCACATCATTTTCCGAAACGATGTAGAAGGAGCAGCATGCTTAGAAGGGCCAGATTCTTCCTCTTTTTCGTGGAGACGCTTTCTTGAGGTGGTTGGCTAAAAGAAAGACACCGCAGGGTGGCTGCATTAAATCAGGTGAGACAGAGCCTGACTGCTCTGCTTCCTCCAGAATTACAGATGCTGGGTAAAGCCTCCTTTCTGTGACCAAAAAAGCAACACGTCTAAAAAGTTTCTCTACCAAGATCTATCTAATTATTTTTGATCCTTCTCATATACGACACTGCCCCCAGCTTAAGCTTCCACTACTGTTTACAATTCTCCTAATTAGCATCTGGTAATGAATGTCACAATACCATTTCTAAACTTTCACTAACATGAGAATTTTTCCTTGAACACTAATCACTCGTGACTTGAATCCATCAAAATATACACGTTCAACAATTTAATTTTAAATATAAGGATAATCCTTTAAAGCCTCGGAGATTGTTTCTGTACATTTAAATAAAGTCTTATTTATGTCTTGCCAAAGCACAGAAGTCCATTGCTTCTACTCAGAAAGCAGAGATCATTAACAGACAAATTAATTCAGCCAAAACACATGTTTATCTAAGTTCTCAAAATTAACTGATTTTCTTATTATGATTTACTTTGAAATCTCATTTCTCTATGCATCAAGTATTGAAATAATCTGTTGCACATACCATTTTTGATGTTTGGGGTGGATCCATACTGGTATGTGTCTGAGCAAGCAGCTTTTGAAATGTATTCTTCATATCCTCATCCTGCGAAAAAAAGCAGTAACTCCAAGTAGTACATGGAATATTTAAGGAAAAACCTACATTTTGGCTAATGAAATGGGCCAGCAATTATAGAATGAATGAATAAAGGAGAAAAGGAGGTTGCCCCCCAAATAAACACCTTCCTTCTATGGCTTCACCAAGGGCAAATCTTGCCTGATCGACCTCGGAGCTTTCTATGATGGAGTGATCCTTCTGCCTACATTGGAGAGGTCTGGGTTGGATGGATGGACTATTCCATGGACAAGGAACTGGCACCCAGAGAACGGTGGTCAGCACCTCGGTGTCAGGATGGAGGTCAGTGAGGAGCAGTGTGGCAAGGGCCCAAGCTGCTTTGAGCTGTTGTTATTCTATGACAATGTAATACAGATCACGAGACCAAGAGAAGAAGAAGATCTCCTATACAAGTTTTTTATGGCTGTTGCCAAGGGTCAATCGAGGTGAATTTACATCATTATCCCCAGAACAACCCAATAAGACTCAATTCCGACCTGAAGCCAAGGATGCTCTAAGGCTTCCTCTGTTGTAAGACGTTTGCTTGGATCCACTACTAACAGCTTCTTCACGAGGTCCAAAGCTAAGAGAATAAAGAGTTAGTTAGTATCCGATCGATAAATTCATTACCTGAAAATAAGCTCTGCAATATGCATACACCAAAGCGATGTGCAACAACGTGTCTTCTAACACACATCCTATAAATTCCTGGCATTTTTGGTTCAGCACTTGCAGAATCTTTAAGCGAGGCAAAATTTGTAGTACAGCTTGATAAAGTCAGAAGAAAAAGTGAAAAGAGGAAAAACAGACCTATGTGCCTGCAAACCTTATACTTCTGTCGTTTATAAAGCTAAATATTGCTAAGAAATCTTTCCAATGAAAATTTATCTGCTCTTTCTAATGCTTGAACTTTGAACTTAAAAAAAATACGAAGAAATTTTTTTAAAGACTGCTTTAAAAACTAAACATATCAGCATGCAATGTGCCATGCAGCTGAAAGGAAGGTGAAGGAAAACGAAAATGACAAGAAAAGAGCGAGATCTTCTGCTCCCCACTGTCATGGGATCATACCCGTGTCTGAGACGTGCTTCCATTCTTTTGAAATGAAGGTGTATTCTCCACGAGTGATCTGATCTTTCAGAGACAGTCGAGTATTTTGCTCATTAAATGGGGGATAGCCACACAAGCTACATGAAAGAAAACAAGTTAAATAGGATAGATTTTATCACAGGGAACGAAACACTAAAATCACACATTTTAAAGCACCTATCGTAGCGCCTTTAAAACGCATATAGTATTAAACACACTTTCACTTCCTAATAAAGACACTGAAGTTGCCAAGTCTCGAGCCATGTACGTCAACGACTGCCCAATGAAGGGAGCAGCTCCACAAGGTCTTACCATACAAAAAGAATAACTCCTAAACTCCAGCAGTCCACAGCTCGGCTGTATCCAGTGGTCCCAAGTGAATTTAGAACCTCAGGAGCAAGATACGTGGGAGTACCACATAATGTTTTCATAAGAGAAGTTTCTCCAAGAATCTTGGATTGTCCAAAATCTGTAATCTTGTATTTAAAAATGGTAACACCACATTACACATTCGGATTGACTGTAGCACAACATATCATACTGTCAACACACATCAGGAGGTAACATTAAATTTCTTCTTTCCAAGTCACTTCCAGTACATGACTATGAAAAAAATGTATCCCAAATATTGCTAAGTAGGTCAGTAAACAAGAACTGAGGAGTAGGGAGAAATACAACAATCATAGTTTACACTAGCAAAAAGTACTCTCAGATTTGGATGTGAATGGACAACCACAGAATAAAGGAACTGCAGCTTATTAGAAGAGATTACTTGAAAAATAAGCAGTTTAGCAGAAATCTAGTCTTTATCTGTGACAAAAAAACCCAAAACCACCCACCCACAAAAAAAATCCCAACCCTAAATTCCTCAAAACAACAACAAAATACTCTGTCACCATACAGCCTGGGTGTTTGTGGAAACACTGTCTGTAATTCAATAATTTAGATTTTATTGAAAAAAAATATGTCTTAACATTTGAAATTGCGTACTCAGTTAAGTGCTAGACAAGCACAACATTTCTCAGTTGTTCTTAGGTAAGTGCATGGGCTGAAATAGCCATAAAAGTAAAATTAAAACTATGAAAAAAAAACCCTCAATGTTTTAAGTTACTTCATAGTTTGTATGACTAATTCCATAATTATTTTTTTTTTTGCTATGTTTAACTGAATATTGAGAAGAATGGGAGGGAATACTCCCAAATTTCTACATAAACAAGAAGAAATGTAAGTTTCCTTACCTTTATAAGACATGTCTCTTCAGAAGATGAAAGTAGCACATTCTCCGGCTTTAGATCTCGGTGTATAATTCCATTGTCATGAAGATACTAGATGTCCACAGACATACAATCAAAGAAAAACAGACTATTCGCTTCTTTTGTATGTAAGCTTTCCAATTTTTCACATAGCAATGGCAGGATAACTGAAATGGTTGTGTAAGAGGCCTGTATGCATTTAAAACTACAGAGCTTATGACTTCCTAAACAAATAAACAAAAAAACCCACAAAACCCCCTGACCTTAGAAACCATGATGCTTCAAATGTCAGCTCTCAATCCAAGCTCAGCACATGGACCTGGCAAGGTCTTCCCTTCCTCCCACTCACTCAAAAGCTAAACTTCTTTCTTCATCTCAGTAAAAGCAACAAAACTAAGGAAGACCAAAGTTCTACGCTGCCTTTGTAGGAATTCTGGTTTTCCATCTCTCTTTCTCCATTCTCTTAGTGTATTACATTATTACTGTACAGTCGTACCCCCTTAAATACAAGTCTGTGTTTCAGTGTGCAAAGAGAGTTAAATTCACCACGCCACAACAGGCCTCACACTGCTAAGTAACAGACAAACTGACAAACACCTCAGGTGTCAAAGAGCTGGAGGCTGAAAAAGGGTCAAAAAACCCGGTGATAGAAACAGGGACTGAAGTAGGAGTGTTCGAATGTTCTTTGGCTGCAGTGAGGTAAAAAAACTCATTAAACCAACTCGTTAAGAGCACAGTGCTGATTGCTCACACAGGTTTTAGAAGTGACAGATGACAGAAGGATTCATCTGACTGACATTCATATGCATGACCATATTTTTCTTGGTAGAATTCACGATTATCTACCTTTACAGCCAGCAGCATCTGATAAAAATACAACTTGCAGGTAGCTTCCTTCATCTTGATTGGCCTTGACACTCTGTCATACAATTCTCCTCCTTCCATCCTAAAACAAATCCAGGTAACAAGTCAAGGTATTACTTCCAGAGGATTAATCCCATTAGACAAGAATGAGACCAAAACATTTGGCTATTCTGGCTGCAGAGAAGGAATATATTTCTGAAAAAGAGTGAGCAATGTCTTCAATACAGCACACACATTGCTAACTAGGCCTATTCTCCTGAGTCTTCCCTGGGAGTTAACAAGATTTTTGATCAGCCTCCTCTTATGAGCTCAAAAATCAAAAAAGTAGCAGCGATGCACAAGAGCAGCAGAGTGGGCAGCTATCGAGGCACTAAGTGCCTTCAAAGCACAGAAGGATTATTCCCCTGGTTATCCCCGTTCCTAATTTTCCAGGGGTTTCAGAGAGTAGTGGAGTCCAGCAAAAGAAAAACCAAACCAACCAACCAAAAAACCCCAATTCCTAATTTTCCAGGGGTTTCAGAGAATAGTGGAGTCCAGCAAAAGGAAAACCAAACCAACCAACCAAAAAACCCCAGAGTTCAGAACTATACACGTGCTTTGAGGCTATGGAAAACATTTCATTTTATGTGTTTACTTTCTAACAAGTTACTTACAGTTCCAAAACAATGTAGTAATCCTCTGCTTCAAAGAAGTTTTTGATCTTGATTAAGCAAGGCTAATAAAAAAAAAAGGGGGGGAACACAAACACACATTAAAAAGTACAATCATTTGTAAAAACTACCATTATCATCCTAAAGTTCTGATTTAAGTATGATTTCAACCAGATAAACTGAACAAAACTGACCAGCACCGCAGGCTTTGGCAAACACTTAATATTTCAGTCCTTTGTCTTCTCCCCTGTACCTCCCCACACAAACACATCCAGCTCCTGTGGTGACTACAGCCCAACGAGTAGCCTTATTTTTTCCAGTTATGAGGTATTTTCTTTATATGCAATAGCACATTGGGAAGCAAGGGAACATTCGTTAAGCTGTGCAAATATTCTACTTAAAGTAAAAGCACTGCCTTTTGTGGAGCAGGGGGGGTGTGCAGGGGCCAGAGGGGATACAAATTTTTAAAAATGGCCAGTGGAATCCAATTTATAAATTTTGTTATCTGGCAATATTTACAAGAACACGCATCAAGGAAAGGTTTCTACAGCAGTGGCTCAGGTTGAAACTTCTGTGAAGTTTCATCTCAAATTTACGTCTCAGTAATTGAAAGTTTTAAAACCTCAAATCCGTAAAGGCATAATATACTTAAAAAAAGGAAAATAAAAATGTTCCATAGACATATTTACAAGGAAAGTTATATGTATCCTTCAAGGTATTTTCTAACCAAATAGAATTGATCTTTATTTACTACACTAAGGTCAGTGAACTACAGAAGAACAGTAGGCAGCAAAAATGAATAAAAAATGAACAGTAATACTCACATGATCTATTTTCTTCAAAATTTCAATCTCTGTATTGATATTAAAAGCTGGGTTCTATTAAAAGAATCAAATAACACACTGGGTAAGACAGTGCTGTCCTGGAATAAGACACATCACAAATAGGAAACAGTGCCAGAAAAGCCATCATTTCATGTCCCTTGCTACTTTAGGTGCCCATAACTTAAAATCTTTTTCCATAGACTGATCAGGTGCCTCCAGTGAATTGAACAAAAGGTCTGCTCTCACTGTCTGGCAGGATACTGCTCCAGACACGTCATTTCACTGCAGGTTAGAAATCTCCACCTAATTTCCAAACTAAAAAAAAAAAAAAATAATCTTGGTGAGCATATACGGGTGTTGTGCTTTAATATAATAGTGGAGAATACAACAAAATTAGCAGAGTTTGTCAATTTTCAATCAGACTTCGATGGCTATGGTGTGTGTATGAGATGCATTTTAGGAGATAAACCCTGCAAGATTCCCCCCCACCCTCCGTATATACCACATTAACAAACAGTCCTGAATCATGAACATAATGAAACGTGGTGAAGGAACAAAAGCAAGCATTCCCTACAGAATTCTATACATTCTGCAAGATCAAAAGGCATTTGAAATTACACACAGAAGACATGAAGTGAGAAAATCCCCTTCAGTTGCAGAGAGATTACCAAACCTTCCAGGACCACTGCAAGATGGCCAAAAGGCAGAAAAACAAACAAAATCACTTACTGTCTCTGGAATGCCACTGGCCATGAACTTCCGTTTATTGATTATCTTTACTGCAACTTTGTTACAAGTGCTCTTCTCAAAGGCCAGCTTGACTTCTCCACAGGCACCGCTAACACAAAAGCACAGCTACGTTAATCCTTACAAATACTATTCAAAAACCTGCATAACAGCTACAGAAAAATGAAATGATGCCCAGGAGCCAGCAATGGGCCCTGGTGGCCAAGAAGGCCAATGGCATCCTGGGGGGCATCAAGAAGAGTGTGAGCAGCAGGTGGAGGGAGGTCATCCTGCCCCTCTGCTCTGCCCTGGGGAGGCCCCATCTGGAGCACTGGGACCAGTTCTGGGCTCCCCAGTTCCAGAAGGACAGGGAACTGCTGGAGAGGGGACAGCAGAGGGCTACAGAGATGATGGGGGGCTGATAGTAATTCCAGCACAAAGTACTGAAACAGTAACAAAATTAAAGCTTAACACTGCAAAAAGAAGGATGTTTACCTTCCCAAAGTCTTCGACATGATATATTTCTCTCTGAATTCCTTAGGAAACACCAACTGATCATCCACCGTAAGATCAGAAAATACAAACACTAGGAAGATAAACGGAGATAATTTTCCTGTTATTAAATCTAACATTTTTGTTATAACAAACAACTCTGCTTCCTGAGCTTTTCTAGTCAACAACATAACTAATAAAATGCTGCCTGCTGTCAACTTCCCTTGAAAAGTCTATTTCCCCTGTTCCCACCTCCACACAGACAGCTACTGCAGCACAAAAGTCTTTCAAAAATAGGAAAACACCTATAAAGGTTTATACTCTAGTAAGGTGGTTCTTGATGCAGTTTAGTCCAAATCTTCTTTTTTCATTTTTTTCATTTTTTCTAGGGTTGAGGTGGGTAATTTTTATGCAAGTACTAAAACATCAATTCCTGACTGCAATTTCACAGCACGTATGAAGATCAGCTTGTGTGAAAAATACTCAAATCACTGCAGAAACAACTTCTGGGGCAACACATGAAGAACCTACTTATGTTACAGCATGTTTTACCCTTATTACTCTGTACAGAGAGTGCGATTTCGGAGTTGTGAGTCAGTGGAAGCCTCTTCCCTTTTCCAATGAGCTCTCTATTAACAAAAGTTCCATTTGCACTGTGGTCTTCAATGTAGGCAACGTAGGAATTTTTTGGACCCATTTCCTCAAAGACAAAAAAAAAAGGGAAAGGTAACAATAGGGGGAAAAATACTTTGCTGTAAGGCCATTACAGACTACAGAAATTTACTATTGTTGTCTCAGGAAATCAGGCTAATGAGACTACTATTTCATAAACTGGGTTAAGGGAGTATTGCCAAGAATTTTATTAAAGGAGTCAACACTGAAGGTACTTAAAGTTCGATTTCTTTACGATCCACCCCTCCCAAAGCCAATCTTTTTCAATTATGCCAAACCAGAAAAAAAACAGTCAACCAGTTTTAGCACCTACCCTGAAAATTCGGAAATGCTTCTTGCTATAGTTTTGGTAGAAGCTGGTATCAGACAATCCTAGCTTAGAAAAACTATAATGACAGCTTTTGTCTCTTCCAAACCAGTATTCATCATTCACACAGTCTGTAGAGGAGAAGGAAGTAAAGCAGAGAGAGCACACACAAGTGCAGGAGGTTATTAACCAGAGCACTCCAGAATGATGCCAAATGACAGTACGCAGGATAATAAAAACAAGATTATTCCTATACAATCAAGTTTATTTGTCTTAATTCAGACAAAGCACTGTGCTCTAAATGATCTTAAAGGTCCCTTCCAACCCAGACAATTCTGATACATAAACAAAATAAGTTATGAAGTGGAAAAATAAACCAGGTAACAAAGTACATGAATATCCCAGAATTCCTCTAAGTACGGAATACAAAATTATTGCAAAAGTTGCAAGCTTGTACCTAAATTTGCTTGTACTTAGTTTGAAAAAGACACTGCTGTCTACCAACCTGCTCAGAACTTTTCTGAGCTACTAAAAACGAACCAAGAGGCTTATTAGAGCATGCACATACCACAGTTGCTGAAACCTTTTCCAAGTGCAAAGAGCAGACCCCAAGGCTGAGGAGCAAGCTCTTCAGGTTCCTGGTCCTCGGGGATCGATGGAAGCTCCTGAGTGGGGACAGTGTCCAAAGAACTGAGGGTACCAGAACTTGAGGAAGACTGACTAGTGCTCTGCGACCCGCTGGAAGAGGAACCGGTACCACTCTGTGACTGTTGGGTATCTTGAGACTGCTGCGCTTCACTTCCAGTCTCTCGAGACATGTTGGCTTCAAAGAGAATGTTTAAAGTTACTACAGCAAAGCAAACCTGACAAACATGCCCACACTGTACTGGTAACAGCCCAGTCTGTTCGCAGCCTTCAAATCAGTAAAACCTTCAACCAAAGTGTGCACGAGTGGATGACACACAAATCCCAAGGCTTTTGCAAATCCTTGTTTTTCCTTTTTAAAAAAAGGATGTGGTGCTCCCTCTGCTGGTTCTAAAACAACTGTTAAATCTTATTCCCAGAATTTTACATCAGCTCTTGAGGGCTCACACTTTATTTCACAAACGCATGTGCAGCGCGCTCTGACAGAATCCCCACACAGAGCAACAACCATTGCAGCTCCCAAACACCATGGGAAAAACTGAAAAAATAAGAACATAAGAAGAATAAAATGAAGTACGTTTTCTTGATGCTGAAAGTGCCCAACAGATTTATCACAGATGGAGCCAATTTGGTGTTTTGGCTGAATATTCCTTTAATATAAGTTCTATCATAGATCTCTTCCACGCAGGTTTTATTCAGCAGTTTTATTTACAAAAAAGGCACACCTATACGTAATTAATGTACAAAACACCAGCAAACTCAAGCACACACACCACATCCCCAGCAGTTGCCATCAAAGACAGCAGCAAGAAAAGGCAACAAATGGCATCTACGTGCCCTGCTAAGCCAGGGGGACTTACAGCAGTGTCCTGCGTTTCTCCTCACTTAAGAAAAACCAATCAACCAGCCTCATCTTGGAGATAAATCATCTTTAACTGGTTTTCTCCAGCAGCACCCGTGTTCCTGGTGCTGGGGGGCTCTGCAATGCCCGACACCCTCCCCTGGGCCCCCCCGCTCACCTGCCCGCCCCACTGTCCCGGTGCCTCTGGGGTTTTAAGCTCGGTCTATCTATCACCCAGACTAATTTAAGCCTCCTTACCCGTTTGTTACAGTTCATGATTAGCCATAAACACACCATAGGGCTCTGGGCACTTTCTGTGTGGCTTTTTGTAGGGAGGAGTTCAGCCACGCCGGCGGGGGGAAGGAAGGGAAGGGGGGAAGGAAAGGAAAGGGGTGAAGGGAAGGAAAGACGGGAAGGAAGGGAAAGGGGGAAGGAAAGAAAGAGGAGAAGGAAAGAAAGGAGGGAAAGGGGGGAAGGAGGGAAAAGGGAGGAAGGGGGAGGGAGGGGGGGAAGCGAGGCGCTCAGGCGGCGGGGCCGGGCCGACAGCGGACACTCCACACCTGCGGGGAGCGGAGCCGCGGGCGGGCAGGACGCGGTGGCGGCGAGGAAAACCGGGCCGCGGCACTGCCGGGAGCGCTTTCTGTCAGCGCCCTCCCCGCCAGTACCGGCCCCGGCGCTGAGGGG